AGCAAACCACACCAGAGCACCCGCCTACTGCCCACTTTTGTGGCTTTACTTTGCTGGGTTTGTAATAATTAGAATACTATTGATATTACTCTTAGCAGTGGGCCAATTGCTTTACAGATTTTTATTTTAACATTATATAACAGAATAATTCTTATTGTATTTACTGGGCCTTTATAATGATAAAAATAATTGAATAATGTTTTATTTCCCGCACCAGGTGTAGTCTCCAGTCCACTCTATCCTATACGATGGGCAATATTTCAGAAGACAGATATTTCATTAAAATATTCTCTTGAAGTCTGCAAACTGCATAATGTTTTTCTAATTAGGTATGTTGCCTCGGTATTCTTGTTGTTCAGACTCGTAATTGTGAGACTGCGGGTACAGGGATTTGAAGCTCAGCTCGATCCGACGTTGGATCCTTAGGAAAGACACTTTACGCGTATTTTCCCATTTTACTCGATCTTATAGAAGATGGACGTAAATTCGGAGGTCTTGCCTCTTAAATAATCTTACACTGTTGCAAAAGACAGAAAACCTATACAATTTTGACAATTCAGTAGGTATGGTTTTGTGCAATCCCTCTTTCAATTCTCTTCCTACAATGAAACTCGGATACAATGAACTCGGGTTCAACAAAAACGCGGATTCAACGAAAAGAGACGGATTCCCTATTTTTCAATTCATTTGAATCAATAAATCAACTAAGATTAAACAAACACATAAATGGAAGGGGGGGGGGGTGGCAGTGGGAGCCGTATGATAAAGCGTTACAGGCATGGAACATCAGTAGAGATGCAGACGCGTCACAATCATACCCTCCCCCCCCCCCCCCTTCCCAGATTACTTAACAATGATAGGCTAGCCTAGATATGGAACTGCGTAATAAACTGCGCCCTGGTTTGGAAGCAAACATTGCCGTGTGCTAAACCCTACACTGCAACGCCTGTTGTTCACATTGTTATTTTTTTAAATTCGGATTTAGCGAAAGTGAAGGTCGGGCCAGACTACTTCGTTTCCGAGTTCCACTGTATTACCTAAGGGATGCCACCTTTTTATTTCGAATCCGTCTCCAAGAGGGAGGGGAGGCAAGAAAATCCTTTAATGAGCCAGATTCAAGAATGCACGGCGGGTGTTTGAATAATTTGAACAAGCGGCTTCACTAGGGTTTGTGGTATAATGCTTAGGTTGTGTGCCTTGCACACGGTAGATTTTTAGTTCGAATCATGTTTGACGAAACTATAGTGCGGCCAAAAATCCGTGTCTCAACTTATCCTCAAATATCTTTATAACGGGGGAATCAGTGCCATCCACACTTTGCACGGCAGTTTATATCAATTTGGCTTAACTTAATCATACTTTTCCTCAACAATCGGGGCTAGATTTAAAAACGCTTCTTCGTAAATTTATACAAAATACTCAGTCACGAGGAAAATTACATTGTTCACAGCACTTCCCGCTTCTCTCACAATTTTTGCATACGCATATGACCTACGCCACAGATCATCAATGCACTTTTAAGTGGCAAAACTTGTTACAAGAAATTCCTTTTATACTGAACACTTCTTTAAAAAATACTAAATGTTCTTAAAACATGCGTTCAGTGAACATAATGTCGCGATTAGAAAACACGACGGATTTTTATTTTAAAAGCGATAATGTCCAAGCTATAAACCTTTTAAAAGCTGTAGAATCTACCCACTTGGATTGTTTATTAGTATTTATCAAGGAATTTTTTCAGAATACTAATAACAGGTGTTTACAAAAATATTAATCTTTTAAGACGAATTGATACAAGTCATTGTGCAAAAGCTGGAGAGTCTTTGTTAGGAAGTTTGGAAAATATTTAACAATAAGTTTGGCCCCGAATTTATGACCGCACTATTTGTTATCCAGATCTAGATATAGTCTTAGCATTTCCACCTTTCTTCTGAAACGTTGCGTCCCTCTCACTCTCAGCCATGTCAGTAGCGGTGTAAACATGGTGATACGGACAGAGATAGAAAGCAGTGCATTGTCCATCAAATACTCAAAATCCAACACCTACCGTTGTATGAAATGTTGTCGATTGAAGACTTGGCCAACACGTGGAAATTTAGGTATCATGCCTCAAAACGTTCTCATTGTAACGTGTGCATCTTCTTATCAGACTAAGCTCTTGAAGGTGACAAAGTAACATGACTTTTAAATGACAATCACAGAGTTTTGTTAAAAATAACGAGCGTGTCAACAAAGTAATGCATCAGGAGTATTCATGAGGATTTATTACTTTGCAATTGATAACAATGGAAAAATAAACAAACTGTATTTATTTTTAAAGATTCATGGGAATTATTCGCAACGATTGTAAAAAGGGAATTGTTTGCAATGATTATAGAAACTGTCTCGTCAATGTGTTAAGCTCTCCCCCCCCCCCTCCCCCTCTCTCTCTCTCTCTCTCTCTCTCTCTCTCTCTCTCTCTCACTCTCTCTCTCTCTCTCTCTCTCCCTCTCCCTCTCCCTCTCTCTCTTTCTCTCTTTCTCTCTCTTTCTGTCTCTCTCTCTCTTTCTGTCTCTCTCTCTCTCTTTCTGTCTCTCTCTCTCTCTCCCCCACACACACACACGCACACACACACATACATACATGGACGTGCGTGCCCGCTCGCACGGGGATTCACACACATTAAAATATATAATATATAAAATTTAGGTGTTTTAAAATCCACATCATTTATACAATAATCGAACCTGTTCAAACGACCAGCTGTCCAAACCAATCCTGTACAAACGTATTCCTCTCACTAACAACCCCCTTCAGTTTTTTTCTTCTATATCATGACACTGCCCTAGAAGACCAAATGTCTAAGTTGACCCCTCTTCTTCATTGGGTGGGCGTCTTAGGCAGGTTTGATCGATTTCCGTATCATTCAACAGACCAGAATTAAAGTACTGTACATTCGGATGAAAATAGGACTTCTCAAATAACAAGAAGTACTGTCTTGATATTGTATAGATTCTAGATAGTTACCTGTTCCTTTCTCCCTCTCTCTCTCTCTCCATCTCTCTATCTCTCTATCTCTCTATCTCTCTATCTATCTCTCTATCCATTCATCTATCTTGTTTGTTTAGTATAGGGTTTTACGGCGCTCGCAACTGCATAGGTCATATGAGCGCGCGGGACACACCTAATACTTTTTCGTTGGTAGGAAATTTTGAATTTTGCCCGGGTGGCGGCCGAAGCCTACTCTTATCGATTTTAGACCACCTAGGGATCTTTAACGTGCGCAACTTGCACACCGGCCCTCCGAGATTTTTCGCCCTTGTCCGAGAAGGCTAGGTGTAGATCTTTCCTACCAGAAGATCAGGGGTGTGGCAGAAAGACAGCAGTTAGGAGGAGCCAAGGAGTAGCAGTAGAAAGGCTGCAGAAAGAGTCAGGAGCCCAGAGGAGGGGGCAAAGGAGGTGAGGGGGTGGGGGCAGAAAGTGGAAATGAAAGCAGACAACAGAACATTGTTAGAGATCAGGAAAGGAGGTGAAAGGGGACAATTTTAGAGAAGAAAATTTTTTGGTCGCTACCCGGAATCGAACCCGGGACCTTTGAATGAGAGGCCAACACCTTAACCTCTAGGCCACGAGAGCCCCATTCATCTATCTATCTATCCATCCATCTGTCTATCTGTCTTTGTATCTCTCTATCTGTCTTTGTATCTCTCTATCTGTCTCTCTCTCTCTCTCCCACACACACACACACACACACACACACACACTCGCACACACACACATACATGGACGTGCGTGCCCGCTCGCACGGGGATTCAAACACATTAAAATATGTAATATATAAAATTTAGGTGTTTTAAAAATCCATATCAACAAAATTTAGACCATTTAGGAGGCGGCACTAATATGTATACATTTATATAATAGTCGAACCTATTCAAACGACCAGCTGTCCAAACCAATCCTGTACAAACGTATTCCTCTCACTAACAACCCCGTGAGTTTGTTTTTTTCTATATCATGACATTGCCCAAGAACCATCTGTCTTAGTTAAGCCCTTTTCTTCACTGGGTGGACGTCTTGGGCAGGTTTGATCGATTTCCCTATCATTCAACAGACCAGAACTAAAGTGTTGTACATTCGGATGAAAATAGGTCTTCTCAAATAACAAGAAGTACTGTCTTGATATTGTATAGATTCTAGATAGTTTCTTGTTTTTCCCTCTCTCTCTCTCTCTCTCTCTCTCTCTCTCCATCTCTCTATCGCTCTATCGCTCTATCTCTCTATCTCTCTATCTATCTATCTCTCTCCCTCTCCCATTCTCTCTCTATCTCTATCTATCTATCTGTCTATCTATCTATCTGTCTATCTCTCTCTATCTCTCTCTCATTCTCTCTCTCTCTCTCACACACACACGCGCGCGCGCGCGAGCGCGCAGTTCGCCCATAATGTTTAGAAAAATTAAATACATTTTAATATCATATATAGTTTAGGTGTTTTTAAGCCCCCATTGACAAAATTTAGATCGTTTAGGAGGCGGCACTAATATGTACACATTTATACAATAGTTGAACGTGCTCAAAGGTCAGCTGTCCAAACCAATCCTGTGCAAACGTATACCTCTCATTAACAACCCCCTTGCCTTTTTGTCTATATCCTGACATTGCCCAAGAAGACCAAATGTCTAAGTTGACCCCTTTTCTTCCCTGGGTGGACGTCTTGGGCAGGTTTGATCGATTTCCGTATCATTCAACAGACCAGAACTAAAGTGTTGTACATTCGGATGAAAATAGGACTTCTCAAATAACAAAAAGTCTTGATATTGTACAGATTCTAGAAGGTTTCTTGTTCCTCTCAACCTCTCTCCTTCGTTTATCTATCTATCTATCTATCTATCTATCTATCTATCTATCTATCTATCTATCTATCTATCTATCTATCTATCTATCTATCTATCTACCTATCTACGGTGTCTGTCTGTCTGTCTGTCTTCTGTCTGCCCCCCCTCTCTCTCTCTCTCTCTCTCTCTCTCTCTCTCTCTCTCTCTCTCTCTCTCTCTCTCTCTCTCTCTCTCTCTCTATGTATCCTCCACAGTTCCCGGAAGAGCAGGGTGACTAGAGGAATCTAGGTAGTCAGGGGTAGCCAGGTAACTAGGAGGCGGAGTCTGGTAACTAGGAGGACGCTCCACGTAACTAGGAGGCCGAACCGGGTTACTAGGGGGATGATCCCACACGCCAAGGGAGACCACCCCTGACTCCGCAATGTAAGAAGGCGCGGCGTCACTGACATTGTTGGCTGGAGGTTCGCTGGCGGGAGGCTGTTTGACGCATGGCAGTTTCCCACCTCGGTAGAGGAAGAGAAAGCTCACAACTCCACAAGCGAATAAGATATAAGTACTGAACCAAGCTCCAGCCTGACGAAGAGAAAGAAGAATTTGATTTCTTCAGGGGGGGGGGGGACGATCTTAACTGTGGTGTTCTTAAGATATAACTAATAGTTTTGGTAAGAGTTTTTAGTAGAGGTTTATATGGCACTCGCAACTGCATAAGATCATATATGAGCACAAGAAGATTAGAGATGTTACGAGGGATTATCAAACATAAAAACGAAGGAGGGGAGAAAAGGACTATAGAAGTTTGACAGGAAAGAAGGAACAGAACACACCAGAGCACCCGCCAACCACCCACTAGTAGTTAGAGTTTGTTTGTTTGTTTTTGTAAAGTGTTTCGCGGCGCTCGCAACTGTATAAGGTCATATGAGCGCGCGGGACACACCTAATATTTTCAGTTGGTAGGAAATTTTGAATTTTGCCCGGGTGGCGGCCGAAGCCTACTCTTATCGATTTTAGACCACCAAGGGATCTTTAACGTGCGCAACTTGCACACGGGCCCTCCGAGATTTTTCGCCCTTGTCCGAGAAGGCTAGGTGTAGATCTTTCCTACCAGAAGATCAGGGGTGTGGCAGAAAGACAGCAGTAAGGAGGAGCTAAGGAGTAGCAGTAGAAAGGCTGCAGAGAGAGTCAGGAGCCCAGAGAAGGGGCAAAGCAGGTGAGGGGGTGGGGGCAGAAAGTGGAAATGAAAGCAGACAACAGAACATTACTAGAAAGCAGGAAAGGAGGTGAAAGGAGACAATTTTAGAGCAGAAAATTTTTCGGTCGCTACCCGGATTCGAACCCGGGACCTTTGAATGAGAGGCCAACACCTTAACCTCTAGGCCACGAGAGCCCCAAGTAAGAGTTTTACGGCACTTGCAACACAATAAGATTGTATAAGATGCCTAAAATTAGGTGTGTTACAAGAGAGTAACAAACCGGAAAAAGAAGGTTGGAAATAAAAACGATAAATGACTGACTGGAAAGAATGAGCAAACCACACAAGAGCACAATTTATAACTAAAATGTGGTATTTTTTGTACAGTCAATAACCATACTCGGGACTAATCAAGTGTACCGCCTGTCCATTAAAAGCAATAACTGACAAGCAATCAAATATAAACAAAGCAAAAACCACAAACACTTAAAGCAGGCAAACAAAAAACCCAGTAAAAACAAACAACAGAAGCAAACAAACAGTCGGCAAAACAACCCCCCCCCAAAAAAAAAAAAAAAAAAATAATTTTAAATTTAAAAATACAGAAAACAATCAGATTTTAAAAGAACAAACAAAAGCGAAACTAAATCATATTTCAGAAACCAAGCTCGACAATACATTGTCATTACACGTGTAACATTAACAGTTAACCATGTGAAATGATCTAATATCAACAAAACTTACCTGCGCTAGTTGTGAAGATCCGTACCAGTTTTTCTCACACTCCAGCCTAATAGAAGAATGATTAACAAAATTAAGTACAATGTATGTGTCATGACACTATGGAATCAGGCGCTGGTCAATTGTTTGGCTTATATAACTATTGGTTATATCTTTAAACGTATTCATTGTGTTGCTTTTGATTTTTTTTTTACTCATCCATTTTGAATAAAAAACGAGATGTCTGCAATTGAAGGAAATGAATGTCACCTGGTGTCAGAGGTAAAAGTAGCGAGAAAACGACTGTCAAAGTTTCATGACTTCCAAAGCTTGACTGTCCATGGAAACTGAAAATGCCCATTCTTTTGTGCATTTGAACAACGTTTTTCAATAAACTCCACATTAGAGATTTTTTTTAATGGACATAAAGGGTGTTGAGCTACACACACACACACACACACACACACACA